CTAAATCAGTTTGAAATAAACACCAAGTTTGGAAACTTGTTTCTAGACCTTAAAAATCATTCTGTTATGGTTACTTTAAATGGGGCTTTAAGAAATAAGCATTTGATTTGAACAAGGGTAATCTGTGAGAAACAAAAGCCAGGTTGTGAGCCTCAAGGGTACAACCAATAAGACAGGCATTGATTTTTGATGAAGACTTTTGGCTCCGGTTGCTAGACTTGAGAGGCCATTAGAATTGCTTTGTGCATTTGCATGTTTTAAAAACTTTCATGTTGTATCAAATGGATGTGAAAAGTGCTTTCTAAATGCGTGTTCTAAAATGAAGACAGTTGTAATGTAGAACAACCACCCGTGTTTTGGAAGTTTATAATAAACCAACCATGTTTATTAAACTTACTAAAGCACTTTATGGTTTTTTAAAACAAGCTCCTGTAGAGGCTTGGTATGAAAGATTAAGTAAGTTCTTGTTAGAAAATGGTTTTTTCTAGAGAAAGGTTGATACTACACTATTAATTATGAATAAAGCACCTGATATTTCTAGTTGTGCAAATCTATGTTGATGACTATAATCTTTGGTTCTACTAATGACCTTTTTTGTAAGGAATTTTTCTAAGATTATGCAGGGTGAGTTTTGGAAAATGAGTATTGGATGAGGGAGAATTAACTTCTTCCTTGGGGCTTCAAATCCAAACAATGCGGACCGATGGAATCCTTTATAAAACCAGGCAAGTACACTCGGAGAATTGTTAAAAAGGTTTCCAAAATGGAGGAAATGCCCAAGGTATGTAAGGCTACAACCAATGAGGTCCATTCCTCAAAATTTAGAAAAAGATGAAAATGGAAAGCGATTGTGGAATATTAAAGATGTTTAGAAGTATGATTGGTTCTTACTATATCTACTGCAAGCAGACCTGACATTTTACTTTAGTGTTTCGTTTATTGTGCCTTAGCATTTCAATTATTGTCCCAAAAGAATCTCATCTTAATCTGCTGTAAAAAGAATTCTTACGATATCTTGTGGGACTTCTAATTTTGGGTCTTGTGGTTATTCTTAAAGTGATACATTTTGAATCTTGTTGGGTTATAGTGATTCTGATTTTGCAGGGAAGCAGCAATAGAATAGATAAGCACGTTCTGGAACTTGCCAAGTTTCTTAGGTAGCGCCCCTTGTATCATGGATTTAGCAAGAAACAGACTTCTGTTTGCTCTTTCCACGGCAGAAGCAGAATATATGCTGCTGGAAGCTGTGTTGCAACAAGTTCTGTGGATCAAAACAACAATTGGCAAGACTTTGGTCTGAAATTAGAAACTGTTCCAATCAAATGTTGACAACATAAGCGCTATCAACTTATCTTAAGAATCCAGTCCAGCACTTAGAACCAAGCATATAAGAACTCAGACATCACTTCATACATGATTCATGTTCAAAAAGGAGATATAGGTGATCGAGTTCATTCCTATAGAAAGCAATTGGCAAGATATTTTTACTAAGCCTTTAAATGAAAGCCAATTTGCTCTGATTAGAAGAGAAAACTGGGTATGTTAATTCTAAACTCTTAATTTTTAGGACTCTTGTGATATGCTTCTAAAATGCTTTCTATATTTGATATTTGAAAAACTTGTTCATTGAAAAACTTGTTCTGTGTTTTGTGTTCAGAAGAGCTATATAAGGTTCTGATGTGGATTTCTAATGTCACCGATTTCTAATATCTTCATCTACATCAAATTCTATTTTTTATAAAAAAAAATCAATTTTTTTAATTATGTTATTTTTATTTATTACATCTTAGTTTGTTTCTTCTTTTTTTTTGTGTTATTTCTTTTATTTTATTCTTTTTCTTAGTTTTCTTTTTAAATTGGTAATGAAATCAAGTTTAGAAAAATAAAAAGAAGATTCTTCAGAAAAAGAAAAAGCTGAGAAAGACAAAACAAAAAAAAAAGAAGAAGAAAACATTAAGTTTGGAAGAAGAAGAAGCTGATAGTAAGAAGAAGAAAGGGGGAAATAGCGTTCACAGAAGAAAACCTCCTCTGCTTCCCTTTTCTAAACAATCTGAGAATCCAACAGAAACTTCACCTGCTCAGAATATCAGGAATTCTAAAAGACTCAGAACTGATTCTAAACCTATTTGATTTCATTCTAATCTACTCTCTGATTGTGTTTCTATTTTGCTTTGTGAACAATTTTCTGTTATTTGCTCTAATTTTTATTTGTGTCTATTGTTTGCTTAAAATTTTTTTTATTTTTTTATTTTATTTCTATTTTGCTCTGATTTACTAACCCTTTTCTCTGATGACAAAAAGGGGGAGAACACAGTACACTTGATGCTTGAGTACTTGGAGGAGAATGGAGGAGAACATCAATATATTATTTAAGTACTTAATCTCTTTGCTTATCATGTTCTAATCTGTGATATTTTTATTATTAAAAAAATGTTTATGGGAGAACACAGTACACTTGATGCTTGAGTACTTGGAGGAGCATATAATATATTTATTAAGTACTTAACCACTTTGCTTATAATGTTTTAATCGTGTATATTTTTGTTCTAATGTTTTTGTTTCCTTGTGAACAGAATATTGCTTTACATGCTCTGATTGTTAGATCTTAAAACTTAAATTCAATTCTAAATGTATGCTCTGATTAAAGGACTTAGAACTCTTGTTTAATTCTAATGTCAGTTTTTTAAAAATCTGTTATTTCTGTTCTAATCCCCACAGATATTATATTGCACCTTATTTCAGGGGGAGTTTTATAGAAGTTCTTCCTGCTTCATGATAAATCTGTATGTTTTAGAACTATGTATTTTGTGACATGCATAAAATTTAGGGGGAGCACATGATTTTATGTTTGATAAAATTTATTTGGTTTTGGTCATCATCAAAAGGGGAGATTGTAGCTCAAAAAGGGATTCCAATTTATCTTGAGATTGCGATTGATTATTACAAAAACAAATAAATTAATATTATTGTATGTGCTAAATATTTATTTTATGCAGAAATTTATTGTTGAAATTATTGAAGAAATTGAAGTTCTACACCCAAGATTTATTTGAAGACCATGAAGATATGAAGATATTTCTATTGGTTAGTATTATAATAAGTCTTAGGAAATTATTGTAGGGATAGAGAGTAAAACTGATATTATAAGCACAATCTATTTTATAATTCTCTCAAAATGTTTTTGAAATCGTTTTTGAATAAATTTATAAGAGGAATATAGCCAAAATCTTTACTCTTCACGTTTTTCCATTCTAAAATATATTTGGAGTAAATATTTTTGGTAGCTATTAAATGATATTCTGCAAAAAGCATTTTCTGATCTAAAAAGCAGTTTCTGATTTAATATTGCTATCTGTTTCTGATACAGCTGACTGTTTCTGATATAAATGTTACACTGTTTTTTAAACTGATTTAATACAGCTATCTGTTAGTTTAAAAAACATCAGAAACTTTATTGCTCATTAAAGCAAAAATAATCTCAACGTTAACTTCAAAAGAGAATATCATCTTTTCATATAAAAACCATAAAAACCATTTCCATCTTTTTAAAAAGATTGGGTTTTGCCAAAAAGAGTATGAGTCTATGTTGCAAAGTTTTTAAATCTCTCGAAGCTCCTCTCTTTTAACCCCCTATTTCTTTTCATTCTCTTTGTCAAGAAAATTTTTAAGAGAAAATTTTTAAGAGAAAAGAAAATTTATTAACAACATTTTCTGAAGAACAGTTCTGATATTTAAATCTGTTTTCTAAATTCGTTTTCTGTTCTTCTGTGCTTATATTTGCATTTCTCTCTGTCTATATAGATTTTGTAATCTGTTGTAAACAGACTCTTTATTTGAAAAACTTTTGTGTAATAGCTTAGGTGAAAAGCTATGGTGTTATAGGTTATCAAACGACCTTCTCCTTGTGTGAGATTCTAATGTCTTGATTTGAGTTTCTGATCTCTGCAAAATCAGAAAGGGTTGAGGTTAACTAGGGTTAACTAGAACCTTTGGAAAATCTAGTGGGATAAAGGTTAGATCTAGGTGTTGATCTATTTCCTTGTATTGTTGGTTTGTCTCTTACTTACCCTTGAAAAGAGATAACATAGTGGAGGATCTCAAGATGCGTCTTGGGGAGTGGATCTAGGCGAGTTAGTGCGGAACCACTATAAATCTCTGTGTTTTTCTTCTTTTACTTTCTGAAGTTCTGCTTGATTATATTCTATTTACGCAACTATTAATCTGTTTAGAAATGCGATGTTGTTAATGAGTTTTAATGAGTTTCTGATTCTAATCGTGAATAAGCTTTATCTCTGTGAAACATTAGAACTCTGGATTTCTGTATTGTGATTTTACCAAGTTCTAACCTGTCCTTCTATATTCAGTGTAATTCACAATTTGAATTATAATCATTTTTCTAATCTTGCTTAAAGCATTGTGAACCAGTTCTAAAATGCAATAACTGTTGTTTATAGAGTCTTTCTAAAATTGCTTAAGCTCTGTGAAGCTCTTCTAATCGCAATAGCTGTTCTTCACAAAGTCTTTCTAAAATAGCAATAAACTTTGTGAAGCTGTTCTAATCGCAATAGCTGTTCTTCATAGAGTCTTTCTAATTCACCCCCTCTCTGGGTTGTGCCATACATAAACGGGACCCACAAAATTTTAATTGAAGTATTTTTTTAATTTTTTAGGTGTAATATTATTAAAAAAATATATTTTTATTTAATTTTTATGTTCAAATAATTTTGTTAAACCGTGTCTTCAAATTTAAAATTTTTTTTTAAACCGGTCTTCAAAATTTAAAATTTAAAATTATGCGATTCGCCGGAAAACCGATCGGAACCGTCGGTTTTGTAACCGGATCAGAACCGAAACAGAAACCGAAACCGAATGGTTTCAAACCGGAATCAAAACCAAACCTTTTCGGTTTGGTTCCGATTCCAATTTTTTTGAAACCGGAACCGTTGGTTCGGAACCGTGGCCATGCTATTATCCACAGTCGCCCCGCCCCGACTCGGGTCTAAAAAACTTGGTTTCCGCCCCGCCCCTCCCTTCTTGCTGCATGGCCATCGGTGACCAGCACTGGATAAAATAACAACAAAGCAAGTAATTAGCAAACACAGGCAAAGCAAATGGAGGTGCTCAAAGTCTGGAGCCTGTCGTCTAATCCACTTAGGCATTTTCTCCACTTAGCCACTTCTACTACCACCTCACGAACCTATTCAGCCTTAGTCCTCCGCTGCTCCGCCACCACTAGGCTCGCCGGCCGGAATCGTAGGTCCTCCTCTTCCTCTTCTTCCTCCACTTCAGACCGAGAAGCTGTTCGCGCCATTCGGCTTAAAAAGGTTGAAACAATCTGATTCTTTAATCAGTTCATTTGCAATTGCAATTCTTTTGTTCAAATTCGCATTATTAAATATAATTAATTGATAACAAAAATAAAAATAAAAATAAAATATAATTGATGAATTTCGAGGGATTATTATTATTATTTTTAATTTCTTAAATTATATTTGAGATTAAGTTACGAATGTAAAAGGAAGATTGAGTTCTGGATACTGATATTTTTCTTCTTTGAATTTTGGGTTAAAGACCTTAATTTTGTGTTGCTGGTTTTATTTGTGATTTTTGCCTTTTCCCCTTATTTTATAGGTTGAAGAACTGAGGAGCAAAGGCCTTGAGCCTTATGCCTATAAGTGGGATAGGACTCACACTGCTAATCAGTTACAAGAGATATACAGGCATTTAGCCAATGGTGAAGAGACGAATGATGCGAGTGATAATGTGTCAATAGCAGGAAGAATTGTTGCTCGTAGAGCATTTGGAAAGCTCGCCTTTCTTACACTAAGAGATGACTCTGGGACCATTCAGGTTGGCCTTTTATTTGCATTTGGTTGTGCTTTTTAACACATAGTGCTTCTTATCTTGATGCCTAGTTCACATTCACGTTTTGGATTTTTTTTTTTTTTTTTTTTTTTTTTTTTTATTAATTCGACTTTATGACTTGTGGTTGCTTATTTTCATATTTATTTTAGTAGAACAAAAATTTTGCATAAAAATTTTTATGAAAAAAATTAATCTTCAATATTTGTTGAAATGATGGAGATAGGCATTATGTTAATTGGACCTCGGTTGAAGCATGAATAAAATTAAACATTTGTTCAAGAATGAGAAGTTTCTTTTACTGAAATATATTGTTGCATTTTAAAGCTTGTCATTGGTCAAGACAATCGTGGAAATTGAGAATGCTTATTTGGAAGAATAAAAACTATTGGACTCAGCAATTCTTTTTTCTTTCCATGTGAAGCTTTTTTTTATCTGTTGATTCACTTAGTAAGCTGTATGCTCAAGGAATCAACTAAAGTATATGAATATTCTCAGTAAGCAAAGACAGTTTAGATCATGCTTGGATTTTTTTTTTTTTTTTTTTATTAAAATTTCAGCTTTATACTTGTGGTTCTTATATTTTCATTTTATTTTAGTAGAACAAAAATTTTGCTAAAATTTTATGAAAAAAATTATCTTCAATATTTGTGATGATGGAGATGAGGCATTATGTTATTGGACTCGTTGAAGATGCATAAATAAACATTTGCTTCAAGAATGAGAAGTTCTTTTACTGAAATGATATTGCTGCATTTTTAACTTGTCATGGTCAAGACAATCGGAAATGAAGAAAATGCTTTTGAAGAATAAAACTATTGACTCGGCAATTTTTTCTTTCCATGTGAAGCTTCTCTTTTATCTGTTGATCACTTAGTAGCTGATGCTCAGTAATCACTAAGTATATTAATATCCAGTACAAAGACAGTTTAGATGATGCTTAGCAGTTAAGACTATGTACAAGCAACCTTAAATTTGATGGTTACTGATTCTTTGTTGGCGTTACTAGTAATTGTCGTTGGATTTCATATTTTTTTGGCTAGCCATGTCCTAATCTGAAATTTTTATGACTATAGACAGAATTGATTATTACTTTATTGTCTGTATTAATATAAAACCCTTGTTTAGCATTTCAAGCTTTCTTTTGTTTAAAATACAAACATACACTCTTACACTTCCTGGTTTGCTAGAATGAGTGGTACTAGGGATCCTCATTTTCCATTCACTACCTTTAATATTCTTCTTTGTAATAAGTTTAGCTTTTCCTTTTTTATTTTTCCCTGTTATAGCTTTATTGCGAGAAGGAAAGGCTCTTAAATGATCAGTTTGAGCAGTTGAAGACTCTTGTTGATATTGGTGATATATTGGGTGCTAGTGGCTCAATGAAACGGACAGAGAAAGGTGAAACTTTTTAACATAGGATTAATTTGTTGAGCTATTGTTCCTTGAACATTATTGCCTATTTATTTATTTGGTGTGGGAGGATAGTGGCAATTATGGAATGTTATGCTTTCTTCATTTTTCCTGAACATAGAAACCATATTATTGATGTCTTCACATGATCCTTTGCAACTCCTAGTTGAATGTCATTTTTGTTCCTGGCTTTCCTATCAGGTGAGCTTTCAGTTTGTGTTAATTCTTTCTCCATTCTTACAAAGTCCCTACTTCCACTGCCGGACAAATATCATGGCCTGACTGATGTAGATAAGCGTTATCGCCAACGGTTAGTTCATTTTCTATTCTTAAGTTGTTTTGTTAAATGCTTTGTCTGTGTTGTATGATGACATAACAAGACAGTGAAATAATATTCTCTAGATTTGACTGGTGAATCATGTTCAAAAATCTTTTGGAGGATATATATAGTCACAAGATGTTAAAAATAAAACATGGAAGTGCTATATCTTAATTTTTTATGAGGCCATTAATCATTGAGGCGATTTTAAAGGATTTACGTCATGAATCATTGAGATGATTTTAAAGGATTTACACACTTTGTACTTGTCTCTGTTTACTATTTTGCAAACATCTATTTGTTAATTTTGTGATTGTTCCTTATCTCCTGCAGTGAATTTTGTTTCCAATTTTCAGGTATGTTGACATGATTGCGAATCCTGGAGTAGCTGATGTGTTTCGTAAAAGAGCTAAGGTGGATTATCTTCAGTCCCATTATTTATTGTTTTTGGTTTACAATTTTGTTGAAATTAGAATTATAAAACTGGAAGTTTCATGGTTTTTTTTTTTTGTACAATATGTACTTTTTCCTATTTTGTCTCTTCATCATCATTTTGAGCTGTAGATCTTTGTTAAGATTTTCACAAAGAATTAGGAGGAGTGGTCCACAAAGAAGAAGAAAAAGGGTTAATATCTGTAGAATTTTGCAAATGTAGAACTAAATTGTGTACATTTGGATCCATACGATTGAACTCAATTAAATTTTGATTGAGGATGAGTTGAACTAGGTTGATCATCATTTTGAGATTTCACAAGAATTATGCTATTTTTATTGATACGAGTGCAAGTAGTAACCAAAATGAATCAACTATTAAGGTTGAAGATATATAAAATTTCATTTATTGAGGCATCATTTGTTTATTATGGATAAAACCCAAACAATTTTGACCATTTGCCGAGCTGGAAGATATATAAAAAAGGTAACTTCGTGAATCCCTATTTGGCTGACTAGCCCTGGGATAGGATATGGGGCATTCGGCCTATTATCGAAGAATTCTTTATATGATCGATTAGCTGAATTATCATGAACAAGAAATTAGTTACTCTGGTTTTTGATTGGAAAATTTTGGTTGAGACAACTGATGGTTGCCATAAAATCTGTTTACTTCATTGTTTCTTATTGTTTAGCAATATAAGATTAATAATTATTGTACCTCTCTGTTGGCAGATTGTTTCAGAGATTCGCAAGACTGTGGAATCATTAGGTTTTGTGGAAGTTGAAACTCCAGTTCTACAGGTTTGTTGCCATCTTCAAAGTGCTCTTAGGTCTTGACATCTTATGTTACAGTAGTTACTATCATTTTATGGGGAAAAGATACTATATAAACTGTATATTCAAAGTTAATTTTGTATATCATTGGAATATTTAAGCAATGGCCGTCAAATAATTGAAACAACATTCATGGGATGGTCTTTTTCAAAATAAATTGTTAAAATCCTAGCCCTCATAACTTACATAGCAAAAGTGAGAATATGCAGATGAAGGTGGGTGTTAAAAGCTTAATCTAATAAACTTTGGGAATGGAAAAGTTGGGTTGCTGGAAGAATTCTTCACTTTTTTACAAAGCCTGCTTGAAGATTGCTAAATTTACCTTGAGCCTGCAATATACCAGTTGTGGAAGTGCTAGGCCTATAGATCATTAATGATAGGTCGCTGCTTGAATGTTTTCAGAGCAGGGGAAGTTTTTTAGTTCATTGATAATTTTTTGTTGTGAAATTTGGACCTCAACACATTTCAGGGTTGCACTTGGCATTGTATTATGCATGACATATATATGGAGGGGAAAGAGTCTCCTTGCGTAGAGAAAACTGCTATGTTCCAAATGCAAATTGTTACTTACTACTAACTAAGATATATAATAAAAAGATCATGTAATATTATGAGATTTTATCTGACTTTGTTTTATCACACTCTTGGTAGAATCTCAAATATGTTTGACGTCGGCAATCTCAATTGACTTGCAAGTGTGAATATTTTGTTATTTTCAGAAATAAGCAATTTTTCTTGTTAGCGTTTTTGGAGTGTTATTTTATAATCAGCATGTAAAAGGATTCTAATAAGTGTTGCTGAATCTGTTCCTACACAACTAATTTACAGAAAGTCAGTTTATCATTCTTATTTTTCTACATTGATATTTAGTGCAAGAAATGTTTTGTTTGTCCTTTTCTTATTTAAACACAGTTTTAGCTAATTTTCTCCAAAATTCTAAATTAATTTTATAAATTGCTTGACATATCTTAATTTCTTTCTTTTTACATTGCTAATGGTGTAATATGTATCTGTCAATACAGAAAAATGATTTGCAATTAGAACTTGGTTTTTAATCCATTTTTTCTACTAGGGAGCAGCTGGTGGAGCAGAAGCTAGGCCATTTATAACATATCATAATTCGCTTGGCAGGGATCTTTTTCTAAGAATTGCAACTGAGCTTCACTTAAAGAGAATGCTGGTGAGGATTTAAACTTAATTCTCTTTTTTAAGCTGTGAAATTCACTTCATTGGTAACCTTTTCTTCTCCTCTTTTCAATTACACCCTCCTTATTTCTGGGGGATGTTTAAGCATTAATTTTTCAAGTACATTATGTTGTGTTTTAGGTGCTTTTTACTGACCTCTCTTCCTTCATTTTTTTTAGTGTTCTTAGGTTATGGCTCTTACTTCGTTTATAGTTAGAAATTACTCAATTCAATGAAGCCATAATTGATTGGCATTGAATGAGGATCATTTTCCTATATTCAATTTAGTTTGCGTTATCTATTAAAATAGGTCCAGATTGCAAAACCTCAATTCACTTCCTACTTCCATGTGATCCCAGGTTTACCAGTTCTCCTGAAACTTCAATATGCTTAACCTTCCATAGTGGTGCAATTATTATTCTACAATGTGCATGTCCAAACTATCTCATTCTCACTTCTCTCAGCTTTTTCACAGCACATGCCAGTTTCACCTTCACATGAATGTTTCCATTTTTAATCTGATTTACTAATGCGTTTGTGGACATCCATGGTAACATAATCCTCTTTTGCAACACTAATTGTGCATGCGTATTGTTTTTTTGCTGTCTAACATCCATCATATATCACAGTTGGTTGAATATTACTCCTATATTTCCCTTTCGAGTTAGCTGATTCTTTTAGATCACCTACAGATCAGGTTGCAGTTCTATATTTCGCCCATCCTAATTTAATCCAATGGTTGACATCCTCCTCCTTTCCGTTATCGTTTCTTGGTTTGTTTTTTCTGTTCCTTGGGTGGTTGACATCCTCCTCCTTTCCGTTATCCTTTCTTGGTTTGTTTTTTCTGTTCCTCGGGTCCAACCCTCCAAGAACAGCATTCTTCGCTTTCTTGGTTCCTTAGGTCTATGAATTTGAAGGTGTTGAAATTAATGGACAGGTATGGTATACCCATGACCAGTGTATTAACCTGAGTCCACTAATAATAATTAATTTGTTTAATTAATTAATCAATTATAATATATAAATAAGTTTAAATATTATTTTAATTGGTTAAGGAATAAGAGTTAGAGTTTCAGTGGGATTACTGTTACTCCAACTAAAATCGGACTATAATAAAAAAGGTAGGAGAATACGTTCTCCCTACGCACTTTCAAAGAAATAGCAAGAAGAAAAAACAAAGAAAAAAACTCTCTCTCTCTTTCCTCTCGTTCGTATAGCTAAGCCAAAGGGTTTTAGCATGTAGACGCAGTTCGTTTTTCGTGATTGCTTCTGCAATTTGTAGACTGGTAATACAAGGCTAAAGGTTTATCTTTCGCTACGCTACAAGAGGTAGGTATTCAACTTGTCCACTTTTACTTTCATGTATGGGTACATGATTATTTTTTTTCTCATTGGTATCAGAACGTGAATGTCTTGTGTTCTGGTTGGTGTATCAATTGATTGAGTTGATATTAGAAATATCTAGGTGTAAATAGTTCATACTAATTGTAGAGTTTACAAATTTTTTTTTATATTCTGTTAATTTTGATGAAAAATTTAATATATATATTGTCCCAAAAATATTTTAGATCTGTTCTAAAATTTTTTTGGAATTTTTTTGTTGTATGTTATTTTTAATTGATTTGAAAGACTTTAAATTAATTAAAGTAAATATAAACTATAATAAAAAAAAAAGGAATACTATGGCGTTTTAGTTTGGATATGCATATATACATTGAAAGAGTGGAGATTATCTTTATTTACTCTCCTTTTATTAGGGTTTATATATCAAACTATAGATTAAATTAGTTGTCGGAATCAGTTTCTGAGGTGGTGTGTGGATTACACTGAGAGTGGGCTTTGTCTCCGCAGTGGTTCTGTCACTTGACAGGAACTGCTACGTGATAGCTCTTGATTGGTTATGGCTTATAAATTTTAATCAATACACTTTTCTATATCTTTTTCTCATGATTTTTCCACTGTCTACTTAAAATGATTTTCTAAATTTTTTAAATTTATTTTTCAAGATTCAGAAAATATTTTTCTTAATTTTAGTGCTTTTTTAATTAGTTAGAAATGCTGGAAAATTATAGAAAATTAAGGAAAAATAGTTTTTGGTCATGTAAAAATTTCAAAAATTATTTAAAATCTAAAATTTTCTTTTCTATTATATGGTAAATTTTTTAATTAGTTAAAGAATTCTGAATTTTTCCAAAATAAATTGAGAAAGATATTTTAGGCTATTAAAAATTTTATGAGAAAATCATAAAATTATTTTAGGTATGCCTGTTGCTTATATTGAGATTGTTATATAATGTTAAATCAATAATTATGCATGTGTATAATATATTTGATAATATTCTGTAATGTGTTATAGAAAATTATGGTGTGTGTATATAAGACTCCAATGGTAGCAAGGACTGATGAACTCAAAAACCATTGTATGAAACAATAACTAAAACGTATAAGCTCGAAAATTAATCCACATGACTTGGAGATTCTAATACCACATATGAAACAAGTTCATAAAGCCTATCAAGAGATAATATGAAAAGGTTGTTTAATGGAAGGGAGGTATTTAAATAGAGCTCTTATGCCTATCCCATTTCTAAATAGAGACTCCCCTCTTTCTTTAAGCTACCTTTCCATATTATTTCCTAACAGGTTTCATGGACACGTACCATGTGGTATTAGAATCTTTAGGTGATATGGATTATTTTCCAAGCTTAATTTTATTTTATAAGCTTTTCTTTTCATTTTATACAGTTGTCTTTTTTTTTTTTCAGCAGTCATTGCCGCCATTGGAGTCTTGCACCATAATTTTCTATAACATATTATTACATAAAATTATTAAATATATTATACACATATGCATAATTATTGATTTAATAATATATAATACTCCCAATATAAGTAATAGATATATCTAAAATAATTTTATAATTTTTTCAAAATTTTTTAATGGCCTAAAATATTTTTCTCAATTCATTTTGAAAAAATTAGAATTATTTTAACTTATTAAAAAATTCATCATATCATAGAAAATAGTATTCTAGATTTCAAAATAATTTTTATATGACCAAAAACTATTTTTTCTTAATTCTATATATTTTTTCAGCATTTTTAATTAATTAAAAATGGTCTAAAGTAAAAAAAAAATATATTTTTTAGACTTGGAAAACTAAATTTAAAAATTTCAGAAAATCTGAAAGATTATTTTAAGTAAACGGTGAAAAATTCACGACAAAAAGAAATAGGGAAGCTTATTGATTAAAATTCATAAACCACGGCCAATCAAGGGCTACCAAATAGCAATTCCTGCCAAGTGGCAGAACCACTAGCCTAGACAAAGCCCACTCTTAGTGCGTCAGAGAGTGTAATCCACACACCACCTTTGAGATTGATTCCGGTGGGGGGATTTAGGGGCACCTAATAATGTTTAAATGGTTAATTTTCACAGATCACATGTTATTGAAAAACAAATCTTTTAGCCTTAGAAACGTCATGACTTTATTGATTGTCCATTGACAATCCAAACTAGAACGCCATATTGTTCCTTTTTTTTATCATAGTTTATATTTACTTTAATTAATTTAAACTCTTTTAAATCAATTAAAAATAACGTATAATAAAAAAAAAATTTTAGAACAGATCTAAAATATTCTGGGACAATATACATGAAATCTTTCATAAAATTGACAATATATAAACTCTACAATTAATATGAGCATATTTACACCTAAAAATGTCTAATATCAATCCAACTTATTCAATTGATACACAACTAGAACACAAGGCATTTATGCTCTGATACCAATGGTAATAAAATATTCATGTACCCACACATGAAAATAAAAGCGGGTGGATCAAATACCTACCTCTTGTAGTGTAGCGAAAGATAAACCTCTAGCTAGGGGTGTAATTCGGACGGTATGAAATGGAATGATCCTCATCCCAATTCCGTTCTATAATATTTTAGAATTTGAAATTGCATTCCATTCTCTTCTAAATAATTCTTGGAATTTAAAATTTTGTTTTATACCATTCCATTGAAATTCGGTAGTTCCAAATTTCTTAGCCAATTACAAATCTAACATATTATGACATGTAAATTTTTAACTTTAATAAGGAATAATCACCATATTTTTATATATACAAACTAAAAAGACATAATTAAATTTTAAAAATAATAAATTAATATCACATATAACTAAAAATCAAAATATTTAGTCTTTATACACGAACGTAGCAAAACAAGGCATTTATGCTCTGATACCAATGGTATAAAAACTTTCATGTACCCACACATGAAAATAAAAGCGTGCGCGTGGATCAAATACCTACCTCTTGTAGTGTAGCGAAAGATAACTCTAGCTAGGGGTGTAATCTTCGGACAGTATGAAAATGGAATGATTCCTCCATTCCCTAATTCCGTTCTATAATATTTTAGAATTTGGAAATTGCATTCCATTTCTCTTCTAAATAAATTCTTGGAATTTAAAATTTTGTTTTAATACCAATGCCATTGTTGAAATTCGGTAGTTTCCAACAATTTCTTAGCCAATTAAAAATACGTAACATATTTATGACATGTAAATTATTTAACTTTAATAAGAATAATTCTCACCATTTTTATATATACAAAACTAAAAAAAGACATAATTAAATTTGCTAAATAATTAAATTAAATCACATATAACTAAAAAATCAAAATATTTAGTCTATATTTTTATATATACAAACTAAAAAGACATAATTAAATTTTAAAAATAATAAATTAATATCACATATAACTAAAAATCAAAATATTTAGTCTTCATGTTTATAGATAGTAAATATAGTTTTCCCTTAACATTTAATAATTCAGTTCATATAACTAACAGCTTAATAATTAATAATAATATTATAAAATCAACAAAAGATAATACCATTCATATTAAGATGTATCAATATGTGTAGTTACCAAATCTGTTAAAAAGTGCTAAATCCACAACAAAAATATACATTATGAGTTTAAGTATACTAAAATATTTCAAACCATATAATCTAATAAAAAGTAAGACATTATAACTTATAATCGTTATTTTCAACTTAAAAAAGTATATATGAGCATTCAAGCACATAATATATATTAATTACTAGTTAGGGTTAGGGTTAAAAAAATTCTATTAAACTACATAGTTTTAGAATTAAATAGAGGTTTTCTTAAATAATATGAAGAATTAAAGATATTTTATTCTAATCTTTAATGTTTTATTTGAAAATATATAATTATAAATTAAATAGAAATAAAATAAAAATTCAGTATATGGATTGGAATATGGAATTTTATTTTTAGTTTCCATTCCATATTCCATATACCAATATTTTAAAAAATGCACTTCATTTTAAATTCCGTATTCCAAAATTCCATTCCAAATTAACATTTGGTTTGGAATTTCGATTTGGATTGGAATATTCCGATCCAAGTTATACCCCTACCTCTAGCCTTGTATCTCCAGTCTACTGATCGTAGAAGCAATCATGAATGACAAATTGCTCATTTTTCCACAGTCGAAAAGCCTTTGGCTTAGCTGTACGAATGAGAGAGTTAAACATAATTGGGAGAGCTTGTGCTTAAAAATAATCAAGTCGACTCGTTTTAAGAAACGAGGTAAAAATAACATGATGTTGTAGTTGCTACAATTATTTGTAATAACATGATGATGTTGTGGTTGCTACAATTATTTATAATTGTGCTGAAATCTGTAGTAAGTTGCAAAATGTGATTTCTTAAGAAATTGAGTGGACTAGTGAACTCAGGTTAGACATTTTATATGTCTAAACTATCATTTGCATAATGTTGTAAATTGAATTTTTGTTTTAGTATGCATGCGCTCCTTGTGAGAGGAGAAAGAACAACTCTATGATGTGGATCATACCATATGTGCGAAATGATGACCAAATGAGTTGCAAAAGAAAGTAATCTCAATTTTTGGTTATCTGAGACTCTTTGAGAATATTAGTTCTCTAAACTAGTACCCTTATGAATTTTGCTTTTATATTTGACATTAGCTGAATGTTACCTACTTGTGTATTTCTTTTCTGTAATATAGGTTGGGGGATTTGAGAAAGTATATGAAATTGGCAGAATATTCAGAAATGAGGGCATTTCAACTCGTCATAATCCAGAGTTTACCACTATAGAGGTAATTTTTTAGAGCTCTTATGCCTATCCCAGTTTTACATTATAGACTTTACGTATTCCATGCTCACTTTCATTTTTCTTGATGGCAATCTGACCAATGTTGTTACTAGTCTGGTCTTAGATGTATGAAGCATTTTCAGACTACCAAAGCATGATGAACATGGCAGAAGAAATTGTCACTCGCTGTGCTCTTGCTGTTCATGGGAAGCTTACTATTGATTATCAGGTAATGATACTGTGCCAGTAGCTATGCCATTTGATGTATCTAACATTTGTCTATATTTGCGATTCAATGATTTGAGAATACTATACTGTTTCACCTCTCCACAAGAGTGGCCAATCATTATATCTGTAAAAAGCTTGTGTAATGCGTCATTGCAGGGGGTTGAGATTTGTCTAGAGCGGCCTTGGAGAAGGGAAACCATGCACAATCTAGTAAAAGAGGCCACTGGAATTGATTTCAGTAAACTCAGTAATGATCTTAAAGTTGCTAGAGAAGCTACCTTGAGAACAGTTGGACATGGGCTTGAGAATAAAGATAAATCTGCCATAGAAGCGTGCCCTTCTATTGGCCACCTCCTCAATGAGGTAACTGCACTATCACTGATACTACATTCTTGCATGTACATTTCACAGCTAATTTCCCCTTGCAGGCTGTTGCTTTCACTTCAATGCTGATGTAAGATGTTTTCATTTGATACAGGCTTATTTTGCTTCCATTTTGTTACTGCTGGATAATCTATTTTACATATTTTAATTGTCCAGGTTTTTGAAATTGTTGTAGAGCCGAACCTCTTGCAACCCACTTTTGTTTTAGATTATCCAATTGAGATATCTCCTCTAGCCAAACCACATCGAAGGTATAAAAATTTTACCGGGAACAGAATGTCATTCATTTTATATGCATATCTTCCGAATCTTTCCTCTTAAATTTCTTGGTGTGCTTGCCAACACATGTTCTTGATGTGGAGAACAGTGGAAAATGGACATTTCTTTTGCATTTCGAATTTAAGTTGTCTACATGTGGGCTCTTTTTGCTCTGTTATTATCGTCGATGCTATGTGTAACTTCTATATTACCTTATCTAAATTCATGTGTTGTATTGTGTAAATATTGTCCAATGCATAAACAAAATCTTTTTCATGTTATATATTGAGGTGGTGTAAAAGAGGAATTGCAATACTTATGAAGTCTTTGAATGTGTTAGATCTGTCTTTTTTTATTTGTTATTTATTTTTTTATCATTTTTACCTTTTATTCCTTCACAATAGGCATGCAGGCTTGACTGAGAGATTTGAACTCTTCATCTGTGGTCGTGAACTGGCAAATGCATTTTCTGAATTGACTGATCCCGTTGATCAGGTAAGTATTAATAGAGTTTATTGATGTTTATTTTGCTTCTCTCTTGATGCTGTCTTGTATGCCTACACTATAGTGCTGGTACCAAAATTGAAGCAAGCATGTATTATTCATGCCCTATGCCTGATTCTCTCTTGCTTTTGTCTCCCTTTTAACTTCTTAAGTCCCTCATTCAAAAGGAAGTATTGATATGATCTGCATATGATGGCTTATGTGGACTAATACTAACAACTGAGACTCTTGAGCTATGCCTTCTGTCCTAACCCACCCTAGTTGTTTGACCAATAGTCCACATGGGCTTGAGTCGTGACACTATTTTTTGTCCTTTTCGTGCATCATGGAATTTGTAATTGGGTCTGAAAAAGGTTTGTCAATGTTTAATGGTGGCAGAGAGGACGCTTGGAAGAGCAAGTGAGACAACATAATCAGAAAAGAGCAGCGGCTATTTCAGAAGTAGATCATGTAGAAGAGAAAAAACATGAACATGATGATTCATATGAAGTGACACTTGATGATGACTTTTTAACGGCTCTGGAGTATGGAATGCCTCCTGCTTCAGGAATGGTAATCATCTCTTTAACAGTGCATTTTTGTTTTTTCCAAAAGATGTTTGGAACTGAAATGACTGCTTTCTAATAAAATAGATGTTATTATAGAGATAAAAAAAAAAAAATTCCTGCAGCATCAGTGCCTCTAGAAAAAAAGTGATACAAATTAACAACTAAGCCTTCGTTCCAAACTAGTTAGAATTGGCTATATGAATATTTTGTTTCCAATATCCGCTCTGATCAAGTTAATAGCAATGTAAAGCTAAGTATAAGTTGGAAAAAAATTTGAATTACTTTTTGAATGGGGAATTTTAAAATCATTTGATATATTAATAAATAGAACAAAGCATAAGATAGACAATAACAACTAACTAGGGTTTGTTATATGAATCTTTTATCTCCATTCTGTTTTATTCATATATTCTCACTAATATCTAAAGACTGCAGATCCTTCGCACAACTTTTCTCTAAGCAGTTCTAGGTTGACTTCTTCCTTTTTTAGCATCCTCCACTACCAACGTATCACATTTATGAACTGGTGCTTGTTGGGATACATTATCGTACCTTAAATGTCCTTTTCTCATTTTATCTCTAGCTTCTGCTGCTTGTACCTTTTGTCCGATTTGCTCATTCCTAATCTTGTCCAATCATATGTGATCACACATCCATCCTATCATTTGCATCTCTTCACTACAGCATTCATCTTGTGAACATGTTGGGCATTCGGTTGGGGCATTCGATGCCCCAACATTGACGCCCATATAGCATCGCTGGTCTCATCACCGTTCTATAGAAGTTACCTTTCACCTTGTTAGATATCTTCCTATCGCATATTACACATGTAGTATTCTTCCATTTTACCCATCCTACTCAAATTCTATGGAAAACATCTTTATCCATGAGACCCCCTTTTGGAACATAGCCTAGATATTTGAATCAATCATTTTTGAATACCATTATACCATCTAATCTAGTCTCACTTTCCTACTTCATTAAACCGAACTTGCTGTGCATGTATTCCGTCTTACTTCTGCTTAGCTTAAAACCCTTGTCCTCTAGTAAAAGTGATAAATATCGAAGTTTATTTTTTGTGACAGCAAGTTACTTTGGAGTATCAAGATGCAATGAATTTTTGAGGCGCCCACACTCATTGCTCATTTTACCATAATAAAGATGCCTGTGTTGCATTTTTCACAGTTATTATTTTTTTATGAAGCGTTTTTCACGGTTATTGTTTTTTCGTGAAGCATTTTTCACTTGTAATATCAAGCATAGAAGAGTCTCTTAGTCTGAATTTTTGTCCTGTTAGATTTAAATCAGGCATGACAAATAATAATTCTAAATTCTTCATTTATATAATCTATGTAGGAATTGTAAGCCTTGAATTGGTGGATAAAGCGATTGAAGGGAGTTGAGTCAATGTTTCACATAGAAAAGGAGAATGATGGTTTTGATAAGCTAAAATTTCTTATTTCCTGTATATGTGTTTTTTGAGTAAATTACAATGGTTTTTCTCTTTTCTTTTGCCTAGGGACTTGGAATTGACAGGCTGGTGATGCTATTGACAAACTCTCCTAGCATAAGAGATGTTATTGCTTTTCCTGTGCTCAAGGTTGAGCAGTAGGCTTGCAACAAAAGCTGGTGGATTTGCTTACATTCTGTGTTAGTAGTTATATACTGTCAATTGTCAAAGAAAATAATGTTCTCATTCTTTTTTTTCACCCCTTTTCTTTCTATTTGGGGTTGGGAAAGCACTGGTGGGATATAGCTTCCTTCTACATAAAATCGAAATTTTGATTCAGGTCTTTTGTTTTTCTTTAGATTTGAGAAAATACAGTAGGCCTGTTAAAGTTAGGTTGACCCTGGCATTTTTGGAGGTCTCAATTGTATGATTAGATCTGGAATCTGAGAGAATTTTTCCCCAATGGCCCGTTTTGTTGATGTTGGAACTTCTTGTAAAATCTCTCCATCAGAATTTCTGCTTATATCGAAAAGCAACTGAACTTTCCTTCAAGAGTTATGTTTTCTTGAAAATGTAGTCTCAGTGGTGCACAGAAACTCCTAACCGTGAGCGTTTCTGCGTTTCTGAAGCATTTCTGCCTATCATGTAAAATTATATTTTAAATGCAACATAGTGTAGTCTTCTTTTGCTTGAAGATGAGTTTGGATGATCACTTAATCAGATGGAGAGAGATTTTTTTATTTTGACTAGGATGGTTAAAGGTACATTTAGAAAGAAAAATCTTATTTTCTGTCGTTGGCTTGGTACAATTTAAAGGATCTAATGCTGTGTCTGGATTTATGGATTTGAACTTTGTATTAGGATCTGAATAAAATCCATTTGGATTAGTTAATTATTTATGGATTTGGATTTTAATAAGATATTGGATTTATGGATTGAACTTTGTGAATTAGGATGTCCTGAATAAAATCCATTTGGATTAGTTAATTCTATATGATGGATTTGGATTTTAATAAATATATTAAAGATTGTGGAAAAATTATAGTCTGATTGAATTTCCTACCTTTCAATAGTGTTCTAAATACACTAAATCTCAGAATTTTTAAATTTTCAAATCATAAATTGTCAAACACTATATTTCAAAACAACAGAGAATTAGATTGAAACTCGGCAGAAACAATAATATCACCTAATAACTACCGATCGTTTTGAAAATGATTTATGTTATTAAAAAATTTTTTTAATTTTTTTTTTTTTTTTTTTATTGGAAATATGAATATAGTTTAGTATATTCAATGATATTTTTTTTTTTTTTTTTTTTTGAAAATAATGAATATAAGTTTAGTATATCATGATATATTTGGTTACTTTTCTGAGTAAAAATGGGTCCATTTTTAAATATGACGACAAAAAAACCTTCTATATATTCTCCTGAACATTGTATTTTCAAAAATTTATTACAACTTACACCAGTAAAAAAATTTAATATACCAAACTTTAATGGAGGGACATGTCGCATTACTAGACTTTATTGGTAAAAAAAAAAAAACCTTACCGGAACTTGAAGATCTGAAGTCTCCAACCCCAAGCAATAACTAGATAAAACTCTTAAATAACGAGTAACAACCCAATGAAAGGAGATAAATTAATAACTTCATTAAGAGGGTACTAAAAACACTAAAAACTCACTAAGAGACTAACAAATTGTTTGGTAAGAGGTTATTTAATAGGTTTGGAGAGTAAAGCAAGGTATAAGGGGGGTTATTTAGTCGTTTAAGAAGAAAGTTTAAAAGAGAAAGAATGATTTTTTAAAAGTTATTTGAAGGATTGAAAACCCATTTAAACACCTCAATCTTGAACGTCCCAAATTAAGGTGTAAGCATGGTTAAAAATTTCAATTTTCAAAATTATCCGTAATTATATTTATAAATCTTTCATGGCAAGGGTATTTTCATAATATTTATATTTAACACTATCTTCCTCCACTATCAAACCAAACAAAATAATATTATTAAACTTTCGTTTACCATACCTTCCCCACAAACACAAAAAAGATATTTACTATATTTTCTCGTACCATACTTTACTATGATCCCTCTCTCCATTCATCCAAATAAAAGCGTAAGAGAGTATAAAAAATACTCAAGACTCGAGACTAAAAAAGCTAAACAAAATAAAGAAAAATGATAGAAGGAGGCGAAAAGAAACCACCGAGGACTCAAGAAGTCAGTCCACTGCAATAGTATAGAAAGAAAATCTAGAAGAACACAAGGAATAGAAAGCTGGAAAGGAATTTTACGACTAGTTTTTTTTTTTTTTTCTTTTCCCCAGCCTTAATATAGTAATACGGTAAATTAATATTTTAAAATTGTTTTAATTTTTATTCCTTTTGATTTACATGATAGAAATTGAACGGAAAACAATAATTACTACAAAAGAAGAACTATACCTTGAGAAAGTTGTAAATGAGTCAAAGGTTAATTCCCTAAAAGAAAATAATAATAATAATAACTCGTTAGAATTCGTTAAATACATTTAACCAGACAAACTTAAGCTTATAAAAAAGCTTGGAGACTGAACCTATAAATGAGTTGTAATCTCTTTTTTTTTTTTTTTCACTACAAACTATAAGTAAATTGAATTCTTAGTTATAGATTGGCAACTGTCTATACATTAAATGAGTAAAATTCGAGTTAAGTATGAGCTACACACTCTTTTAAAAACACACTCAAATTTTAAAACTTAAATGAAACTCGATCTAAGTTCAAACTTAAATATATAGCTAATAAGTAAGTTCAAGTCTGGTAGAAATCAATTTAGATAACAAATGATCTTAGAATTCATCTTGAACTTTCTAGAAAAGCTTCTTTTAATCTAAGATACTTGGGTTTTTGGTAATTCAACAAACAGAAATGAGCCACATGGTTATGGACATAAAACCATGGTAATTTATTTTACCTCCTTATATTTTGGAGAGTAAAACCATGGTAATTTACTTTCCTTATGCTTTGTTTGGATGGAGGGAGGATGTAAAATGAGAGAGTAAAATGTTACTATTCATTTTACCTCCTTATTTTTACTCTCTTAGTTTGGTTTCAAGGGAAAATAAAAGGATGGGAGTAAAATAAATTTATTTTACTTAGTTACACCTTTGTTGTTTTTATTTTCCTCTCATTTTGGAGAGTAAATTGGAGGATGTCCAAAATAAAGATATTTTACATCCACTCCTTATACCTCCTTGCCAAACAAGGTATTTTGCAAATTCCAAGAAACTTTCACTTATTATTTTACATCTGTCCTTATTTTACATCCAACCAAACAAGCTCTTAATTAAATCGGTATCGGGGCTCAGTTTAATAAGTATGGTAGCAAATATCTTAAATATTTAGACCAAAACAAGGGTAACATGAAAATTATTAACAATTGTATAGTGAAATTCAGAGTTAGTTGAACCAAGCATGGATTTGGTTTTGAAATTATTCATTTCAAATCTTAGGAAGGATGAAATCATGAAATCGTAGCAAAACCATTTTTAAGCAGTTTGAAAAATAATTTTAATTTCGGTAAAGAAATAAATTAAATAATAATGTGAATATATAATAATAAATTTCAGTAAGCATGAAAACATAAATTCAATCCTTGAAAAGTGTATTCGTTGAGAGATAAAAAAATCTTTATATTTTATAACCCGAAAAGAGATTATATTCCTTAGTTCTAAAAAAAAAACTAAACAGTTTAATAAAAGTCTTAAAATTTATAATTTACAATTCAAAAAATAAAAAATCAAAATCAAAATATATAATTTGAGTTATGATTTAAAATCGAGAATCATACCTTAAATCTAATTGGATAAGAACGATTTGATTTTATAATTCAAAAATAAGAATAAGCATTGAGAATGATCTTATAATTCAAAAACAAGAAAATATAAATTTTTGAACGATTTGAAATACTATTGATGAAGGTGGAAGGTGGCGACAAGACAAACAGACAACTTAGCTAAGTGTAGCAACAAAGAGTGTCAAAACGACTATTCGTTAGCTTGGTCAACCAATAAATGTGTTTTCATATTGTTTAATTGTTACGTGAAAGTTCCACATTCAAATCTTGAATAACAAAATGTATACATTATATGGAATTATCAAATTTTTTCATTTGATTGAGAAAAAATAGATGGAATTGATAGATTTTATTGTATAACCCTAATTCCGTCGTTTTATAAAATTATCTTATAAAATAAAATTCCATTAATTTGCAATTTATAAATTCCACATTCCGTGGATTTTGTAAAATTTATCGATTCAACATTCATCGATCTAAACGATCTCTAAAAAATAAAATTAATTTTTAAACTATTTAGTGAAGATTTTCTTTTATCAAGAATTTCAATCGACTGTTTCAAATTAAACTACAAAAAGGGTAAAAAAAAAAAAAAAAGTTAAAATAGTGAAATATTTTTTCTAAAACATCATTTCCCTATAAAATATTTCCTATAAGTAAATGACTTGTGATGAGAGCAAACACATCATTCAAAGAAAAAGCTTCTATTGAGCATAAAAAGAAAACAAGTTGAAGGATGGAATAACCCATTAAGGTTTGAGAAGAGAAAACATTATTCTTTTCATTTTTATATTAGAGGATTAAATGTAGAAAATTAGAATATTTCTTGCTATTCAATCTCAAGAAATTCTTTTATTCAGGTCAGGACCATCAAACAGATGTCTCTTACACTTTTCCCCTTCTCTATGTATTTTTTCTTTTTTCTAATTTCTAGTGACTCCATTATAATAAAAAAAATTTTGAGATTACTGATTAGGGTCTTAATTTTCAAAACATGTTAATTTTCCTTTTCTGTTTACTAGTTTTCTCGAACTTCCGTTACACATTGTTTGAACCAGTTGATTTTCACATTGCAAGTAAATGTATATATATAATTTTTTTATTATTTTTTATTATAAATTATAATATTATGAATAATTTATATAACTAAAAATCTAAAAACATTCATAAAATAGAAAAAAATAATATTTTATGAAATTTTATATAACTAAAAATCTAAAAACATTCATAAAATAGAAAAAAATAATATTTTATGAAATAATAAAATAAAAAAATTTTCTCAAAGTAAGTATTAGTTTGACTTAAACTAAAAAAAGTATTAGTTTGATTTGTTTTATTACATTTTAAATTTATATTGTATTATAAATTATGGATAGCTAGTTTAATAACTAGTATATTAATCATTTATTTATAATTTTGATTTCTTTTTTCTTTTTGCTAAATTCTATGAGCATATAAATTAATTTTATCCAATAATTACTTTTTGCTAAATTCTAGTATAATAATTACTTTTTACTCTATTATCCGTTGAGACAGTGAAATATAATTTTTCTTTTCGAAAGTTGAAACACAAAATTTATAATTAATCCTTTGATGAAACATTAATTAAACAACTGACACCTATTAAGACAGTTAAAAGCAACTAAACAAGTAAATTTTACGGAACAAGCCCCAACATCCTAATCATAGGCTTGTTTTCAAGCCTTGTTTTAATCTTCGCAATTAAAATTTCAAAATTTTGTTATTTTTCGCAATTTATAGTTTTCAATTGTTTTAGTTTGTATAATTTTTACCTCTCAATGAGGTTTTTTGAATTAAGGAAACAGCTAATTCTTATAAATTATAATAAAATCAAAGATAATCGGACAAAATTATCCTTATTTTAAAGTTAAGAATAACTTGTAAACATAGTTATTCTCTCTAATACAATAAGCCTAATATTGAAAAACCATCATAGTTTGGAAAATATTTTCACATACTTATATTTGGGAAATAACCTTACAATTCAAGCTCTCTTTTTCAATACATTTGATCTCCAAAACATTTAACATTTTTCACTTTATTTTGATTCTCTAGAATTTATAAATATAGTAAATTCATCAAAAATTCAAAGCATGAATGCATCAGAGCAAATTGTCCCCTTCACATATTGTTTGCATTGCAATCATTTATTCTCATAACAATTAAAGATTTGTTCTTGACATGTGTAATCTGAACAAGAAATAATCCTATTGGATCTTCTCTCTCTGTCTCTCTCTTCCTCTGTATAAGAAGCTGAAGTTTTTGCATTCTTTTTGTTGCTATTACCCATCTGATTAAATTCGGTTTTCTACTGTTCTAGTGGTGAATTGAAAATACTCACATTTGAAGTGAATTGGTATAAAAGGGTAGCATTGTCATTTTCATTAATCTACAGAAATTGTTTTCTTTCAAGGAAGATTACGAGGCTTTTGTCTTTTCCTGCCACCAGGGAAACAGGGGAGACAGAAACAGAGGTTGCCCATTTTCATTAATGGAGTTTTAATTCATTATCAAAACCCTCAAAAAACTCGAATTTCTACCGAATTTCTACGTGGGTTTTCTTTTTTCCTTTAAAAGATTTTGATTTGCTAATTCAAAATTTGACTACATATGCAAAAACCAAAAAAGCTTAATTAGGCTCTGTTTTAGTTCAAATATTCTAAAAAAATAAGAGATTTAACTTCAGAATTTAGATCCATGTGGAGTTATAAAATGGCTTAATATTTAGTTCATGCTCAAATCAAGAAATTTTCCCTTTTTGTTGATGAGGGTTTTGATTTGCAAGATCCATTGTTCTTTAATTTGCTTTTGCCAGCCTTCTACTACTTTATATAAAGCAGGGCCATTAAAATTGGAAAATAGCCCTCATGTATCTTCAAGTACAGTTATATCAGTTGGTACTGCTTCTTCTTATGATAATGTGTCTAATGACTCCATTGGAGTGAAAGAAGAGAGTGTAAATGTAGATGGAGAGGAATTGCAGCCTCAAAATTGCAACAAAGGTGGTCTTAAAAAATCTGCTTTGGGTTCAAAAGAAGTTCAGAAGAAAAGAGTACAATGGATGGATTTCTTAGGGAAAGAACTTGTTCAGATCAGAGAATTTGAATCCAGGTTCGTACTTTCTTTAGTTATTTTTCTTCTGTCTACTTTAATTCCTTTTTTTTTTTTTTTTTTTTTTTTTTTTTTTTTTTTTTGGGCACTTGGACATCTGCCATTTATTTTTTAAGAACTTTGAGATCGAGGAAAAGGAAAAGAGGAAAATCACATTAATTTTATGACTTACCTTCATTTATTGTTCTTGCCAAAAAATGGGGGAGAGAATGAACTTGAAATTTAAAAGAAAAGGTTATCAGATTAGATGAATCATTGTAAGTTCATTGAATCCAATTCCTAAAATAGGATTCCATTTTTTGTTTGGTTCTTAAGGAATTCAAATGTTCTTTGCCATTTTTGTATTTTAATTATTTGAATTTATATATTGAAATCATATTTGTTTTTAAGTTTCATAAAACCAATAAATCCTATTTGGTTATCTGCAGAAGAAATTTGGTACAGGTTTTTTTTTTTTTTTTTTTTTTTTTTTTTTTTTTTTTTTTTTTTTTTTTTTTTTTTACAGAATTGGTTATACAGAAGTTTATTGTCAATGTTTACTGGGAAAAAAAAAAAAAAAGCATATTAGCTATGGTGAATTGGTGATTACTAAAGCATCTTAGCTATTGTCAATGTTTACTGGGAAAAAAAAAAAAAGAAGCATATTAGCTATGGTGAATTGGTGATTACTAAAGCATCTTAGCTATTGTCAATGTTGGATTTAGCTTTTGATATATATTGCGAGTAAAACAGTATAGATTCTTTTGTTTTAGGGAAAATATTTTAATGAATTTGTTCCATAAAACACAATTTATATTAAATCATGAATATGAAAACTCAGCTTTGGAAGAAAATAGAGTTTCTGGGCAGGATAGGTTTATGTTTGGCTTTAATTCCTAGAGTTGAAGCTTTGATCTCAACAAGTCGTCGAATAAGTTCTTTCATCATTTGAATTTAATGATGTATTTTTCTAAAACATGGTGGAGATAAGAATTCTCCATGCCAATAATTTCTGTTTGTCCAATCTTATTGAAGAACAAGTTTGAAGGTATTGAGATACACATTAGAAATCATAAATTATTGATAAAGACATGCTATTCATATATTCTGATAATACACTTTGTTGATCTTTCTTTAGTGAAACCGAAACCGAAGATACTGGTAGTGAAACAAAGTACTGTAGTGGCTGTTCCTGCATAATTCTTTGACATTCAATTATCATCCCTCAAACAAGTTGCTGGATTGACAGCTGCAATCACACAAGAAAAAAGCACAAGAAAGAAAAGAATTTGTCACCGCGCAAAGGATTATACTACAAGAAGACACATTCAGGTTTACAATTCATTTGGTTTTGAAGCATCCTCTCCCAATTCAAGATATTCTCTAAGGGAAGCAATATAGCTAAATTGTTTTTTAAAAACTTTTCTTTCCAACGATGTCATGAAATTGTTTGTTATTAAATTTTTAATTTAGCGGAAAAAATTATGAATTCCATACAAATTTCACAATCCAATTCTGCTAAGTTATTTTTCTTTCATAAAATGTTAAAGAATCCATTCTTATTATTCTTATTACGAGGCTAAGTTTAGGAAATAGTGAAGGTGCTCATTTTTTTTATTTGGACCGGAAAGAAAAGAAATATATGCAGGTTCTGCAGATCTCAACCAATTTATGCAGGGAAGCGAGATAATTGCACATCCTTCAACTTCTGACAAGAAAAGCATAAAGTTAAAAAAGAGTCATATAGTGGCTAATGTCTTTATACGTTGGTTTTTCCTCTACTACTATTTCTTATATTTTCTTTACAAGTCCTAATTCTACTTCTTAGGCTACTTTTTAACCAAATTTCTTTCCTGTGGCTTGCAAAAGAGAATCATATACTCCTGCATACTGGTGCAGAATTCATGCCAACCTTAACGCGTTCGCCTTCTGTGTTGCGAGGGCGACCTCGAGGTGGTAAGCCACCCGATAAATCCAGTAAAAAAATATTATTGCTACTGATGCTAAAAGGCCAACTGAATATCCAATCCCTGCTTGCTGCCCATGAAAACCAATCCTTCCTCTTCTTGTGAACATCTGCAAGTGGAGGTGGCCTGTTCTGTTGGACATGGCACCTTAATTTGCATACCACAACAAATCCATCTATTATTAGCATAATAGTCTGGAATGTCCATCAAGTCATTTGACCTCCCACGGAATCTTGACCTTCAAGTTTATTGTTGCTGACATCCCGTGTAAAGAAAGTTGTTGCAACTTTGTTAGTGTTGAGGAATGGAGTCCTGATAGTCTGTTGTGTGACCAGTCCAAGCTTTCTATACATTCTCTTAAGATCACCAAAACTTTCTGGTATCTTACCAGGAGATTTGGTTATATGAAATGTTTCAATATCTTTAGCCCTTTAAAATGACCTAATGAAAGTCGGATCTTCACCAGAACAGTTTTGATTGTTTTGACAAGTCCAAAAGGAAGGGTAGATATCAAGGCTTCGGCCTTGAGAGACCTTTTTCGTCTTCTTCCAATTCACACCAAGTCATTGAACTCAAATGGAAATGGTGAATATATCTCGATGATATAAATGTATTTTGGTGTTTTCAATCATTCCCAAGCAGATTTCCCAAACTTGAATCCGAAATTTTCACCATTTGAGATTGTTGTTGCGACAAAAATCAAGAAATTCGGAGGCTAGTGAGATTGGTAATGGTGTTAAGGAATAGATACCTTCAATGGGTAGGAATAGAACCTTCAAGGGTGTTGTTGTGTAAGCTTAGGACTTGAAGAGAGGAGCATTGGGAAAGAAATAATGGTAATTCACCTGTAATGTTGTTGTCATGGAGATCAAGATGTTGAAGCTTGGTCAAGCTAGTGATGTTTTTTGGTAATTTTCCGGAGAACTTATTATTTCCTAGTGAAAGTATCATTGTTTCTTCAGAGAAGGTAACTGGAACTTCACCAGAGAACTCATTAGAAGAGAAATCAATATAAGCTAACAATGCATTTCCCAAAACTGGGATTTTCCCAGAAAATCTATTTCCTGATAAATCCAACAGCATAAGGCGATAAATCTTGGAAATGGACTCAGGAATCTGTCCAGAAAAGTTGTTTCCAGCCAACATAAGAACTATAATTGCATTGGCATTGCCAATATTATCAGGCAGCTCTCCTGAGAAATTATTCCTTGACAAGGCAAGAATAGATAAACTCTGCGACTCAAACAGACCAGGAGGAAGAGAACCTGAGAGTTTATTATCAGACAAAACAATCGCGCTCAGTTTTATTTCAGCTAGCCATTGAGGGATAGTTCCTTGAAGCATATTTTCTCTCAAATCCAATATATTAAGAGTCTTCTGCGTTGAAATCCATTCTGGTATGCTTCCTGTAAGCCTGCAAGATTTTAAAGACAATTGAGATAACATACATTTTGGCACTAACTTTACATTGCTATCCCAAGTCAGATTATTCCCTCCAAGATAAAGTTCCTGGAGGCTCCTTATATCAAACAACCATGTTGGAATTTCTCCAACTAGCAAATTATCTTGCAGTCGAAGAACTTTCAACTTGCTTAGTTTCTTCATTGATAGTGGAATTCCTCCAGTTATCCTGTTATTGCTCAAAGCTAAAGTAGTCAAGTTGGTTAAGTTGCCTATATTAGCAGGAATCTCCATTGATAAAGGATTGTCTCGCAAATCCAGTTCCTGCAATTCTTTCAGATGAAGAACAGAAGATGGAATACTACTCATGAAATTATTACTGGCTAGATTCAACTGCTGCAAATTTGTAAGATTTCCAATTTCTTGAGGAATATTTCCTCCAATAAGATTCTCTGCCAACTTTAGTACCCTCAAGTTCTTGAGAAAACCCACTTCCTTGCTTAGCATACCATTCAAGAAATTGCTGCTTAAATCAAGAAATTGGAGATATTTCAAGTTAAAAATACTTGAAGGAATTGATCCACTAAAATGATTGACCCGCATATCTAGATGAACTAATCTTGTAAGATTGGTGAACATATCAGTTGGAATCTCACCAACTATACCATTAGAAGAAATGTCAAGAAACATCAAGGATTTAATGCTAAAAAGGGGTGATAATACTGAAGAAGGCATTGGTATAGTTGGAACTTCAGAAACAACAAAAGAGTCAAGATTAAGAGCTGCTACTGATCTTGAACTTGATTGAGACTCGCAAGTCACTGATTCCCATTGGCAACAATCTGAGGTTGAATCCCATGAATCCAAGCCAAAAAGAGAATAATTATCAGAAGAAGAATTAATGTTTTTGATCACCAAAGATTTGAATTGAAGAAGGGCTTGTTTCTGATAATCTGGACAAGAAAGAGAAGCGGTAGTGAAGAAAATGAGAAGTAGGAATAGAAAGTGTAGATTAGCCATTTTTGGGTTCTTGTGAAGTGGGAGTTGGTAATGGCTGCTTTATAAATAAGTTCACATGACAATAGGCAATGGCTACTGGTGAAAGGTTGGAGATTAAGAGGTTTTGTTTTGGAGCATTTAAGTCCATCGGTCGGGGTAAACTAATAGTACAAGGTTATAGGAAAAAAAAAAAAGTCATCGGTTCGGGGTAAACTAATAAGTACAAGGTTTATAGGAAAAAAAAAAAGCACATTTGGATTGTCCTTTTAGTGGAAAGAGGATGTTTATTGCAAAAAAAAAAGCACATTTGATTGTCCTTTTAGTGGAAAGAGGATGTTTATTCTTTAGTTGACGTTTTCTTTTATTATTATTCTTTTTTGGAAATATCAATTAGTTTGTGAAATATAACTAGTCAGGTCCTTTTTTTTTAAATATACAATTTTTTTTATATATTTTACATCCGTTACACTATTAGGTATTTTTGTCTAATTTTTCATCATTCCCGTTCCGTCAACAAGAAAGCACAGAGGCCAAAAAAGAGATATTAAAATATTATATCAAAAAAGGTCCCTGTAATTTGAAAAATATAACTAGTCCATCCTTGTATTTTTAAAAATAAAAAGAGTATTGTTATCATTTTATAAGGTACTTACCAGAAAAGATGCAAAAATTGAACAGAATGACCTTATAGTTGACGAAAGTAAATTATAGGATATTTTAGTCTATTTCAAAAAAGATAGGACGGACTAGTTGTATTTTGCAAATCGTACGAATTGTACTACAATTCTCCCTTCTTTTTTTAACTTGGAAAATCATACCTCAAAAAAAAAAAGGGGGGTTAAGGTTGGAGAGTCAAAATTCATATAAATTCCATATTAAAATCTCATATTTTCAACATGAAATTCACAATAAGTTTCATATTTTTTTCAATTAAATAAAATTTTTCAACCAGTAAAAAAAAATTGAATTTTCTCACTAATATGAGAAGTGAGAAGTATTAAGGGAGGTTTAAATAAAAAAATTATTTAATCCATCGTGTTTTCGGTCTATTAAACCTCCCTCTGATTTAAAAAAAAGTTAATAATATTTTCAGTAAAACCAAAAACAAATTCCTGTTAAACATAAGCATAATTCCGTATCAAAACAAAAGAGCAAAATCTTTTAAAATAATGTCTTCATCTCATTGCTGGTTGTGTGTCAAAAGTCTTTGGCCCTGCGATTTGGTTTAGAATAAAATCTTGGAAATACATATATTTTAAACCTATTTTTTTCAAATATTTAGACCAACAACTAATTTTTAAAACAATATATTAATAATAATAATAAAAGAATTGTATATGTTTACATATATAGTTACATATTTCTAACTAAATTTATTAGAGATTAGTTCAAAATTTAAGAAGAATTGAAAGACTGGAATGTTATTTTATATTCATTTGTATAAAATATTCAGTTTGATTTTGATTTTGATAGAAAAGAATCAATTTTTTTTTAACATATTTCTAACTAAATTTATTAGAGATTAGTTCAAAATTTAAGAAGAATTGAAAGACTGGAATGTTATTTTATATTCATTTGTATAAAATATTCAGTTTGATTTTGATTTTGATAGAAAAGAATCAATTTTTTTTTAATTTAATTGGATAAAAAAAATCGCACTAAATTAAAATTAAATCGAATCAAACTGAACTTTTAAAATTAAATCAAATCAAACTGAAGTTATTTAATTTGAATTGATTAATTTAGGTATGTGGAAAATTTTGATGGATTTGATTTTGATAAAATCAAAATACTTAGTTAGTCAATGGAAAGTTCGAATTTAGTCAAAAGAATAGCAATAAATTAGTAGTGGAAGTTTGAAAACAAAGTAAGTGGAAAAAGATTGGAAAGCTCATTTGTTTGATTGTTCCTTTAGTGGGACAAGGATGTCCTTCAGTTGACCTTTTTTTTCTTTTTCTTTTTCTTTTTTCTAATGGTATTTCTTTATTATTGTATTGTTAGTTTATTTAATGCATAAAAAAAAGAAAAATTAAATAAATATTTATGCCAATCTCATAATGTATAATATTATCAATGTTCAATTAAAGATTTATACCTAAATTTGCTTTATTCATTATTAATTAATATTCTATGGCTTGTAATTAAATTATAAAAAAAAGGAATATAATTTTCAGTTGTTAATAATTTATAAAATATTTTATGATAAATAGAATCATGTTGTATATGTATCTATCTTCATCTCCTTGTTTGACTTATTTGATTGTTTTGGGTCAAAAGTGTTCTGGAGAATATATTTTTTAATTCTTTCGGTCAAAAGTTTAAAATAAATAATAATAATAATATTATTATTATTATTATTAATTTTGAAAAGAAAATCTCCACTTTTGGGGGTCACTCCTAGACCCTTTAGCTCCATCAATTATGTTGAATTTTGAGAAAAAGTAGCTCCATCAATGATGTTGAATTTTGAAAAAAAAGTTTTCCCTAGTTCCGTCAACCACGTTAAATTTGAAAAAAAAAAAATTATTCTTAATAATATTTTTTTATTTTTTTATTATTAAATTAATTTATAACTACTATCCCTTTAATTTAGTAAGAGATGCAATAACTAGACGACTTCTTGATAATTAAATATTTTTAATTTTCTTGATATTTTTTCTCTTATATTCTAAATCAGTTTGACATGAAATAAAATAGTGTTTATGAAATTAGAAAAAAAAAAACTAGAATTATATATTTTTAATTTAAGTCACTTTTTAAAGTTTCAAAAATTTGTATGTATGCACATACATTTTTTTTTCTAATATACTAGATAAGTAATACTACCATTATAGCCAAAATGATTACCATTATCGATTCAGATGATCTCTTTTTTTTTTTTTCTTTTATCCAGCAATAAAAATAATTTATTATTATTTTTCATTACAGTTATACATAGATATTGATTTTGGGGTTAAGAGCAATGAGTTGAAGATTGAGTAATAACTTAATTTTCTTTTTGAGCACCTATTAAGATTTTAAGAATATTCATTTATAAATTAGGGACCGAAGGATTAACTCTAGGGATTCAGTTAAACTTTATTTGGAAACCACTTTATTATAAAAAAATAGAATTAAATACATAAGAAGTAATATTACAAATAGCTTGTACGACAAAATTTAATACACCAATTGTATTTATTTTAATTTGAATAAAAATTTATGCTTTAATATTATATAGATTAAAAAAATTAAAAGAATATATATATATATATAACGATTATAGTCAACGTGTAACGCACGTCATAAAAAAATATTATAAAAAATATATATACCAATAGAGGCAGTGAAAGCAGTGAATCCATAAATGTGATTTCACCCTTAGCAACCATTGAAGACCCATTTTGAGAGAGGCAAAGGAGAGATCGTTGTGCTGTTAAAGCAAAAGGAGAAAATCGACGCCAAGAATGAGAGGAATTTTGAGAGAGACAAAGTGAAAAAAACGTCAAGTTTTAAATCCCTCGGGGAGGCATAAAAAATCAGGTCTTGAAGAGCCTCATCTTTGAAGTGGGAATGGTCAAATAGAGAGAAAAAATCATAATATGTGAAAGGTTCACCGATTGAATACAAAGTTTAACCCACCCACTCTATTTCCAAAATTTCCACAATTGCAATTGTTTGGAATGCAAGGGACGTCAGCAATGGCCCCACGCATAGACGTCTCGACGATCTTGCTCGGATCGGGCATTAGTCTTTGGTTGTCATCCTGAAACCAATGGATCGGACTCTGTTACGTAAATAGATTCCTAACTTTTGTCTCATATTATGAGATAAGTAAGCAGTTCTTATTGTATCGGCCAAAAATCTCACAAAGGGGAAGTTTATAACAATAATTTTTTTAATTTAAAAATTTTGTTTTACCGCCTGATATGCACTGCCAAGACCTATGAATAATTTTTTTAATTTAAAAATTTTGTTTTACCGCCTGATATGCACTGCCAAGACCTATGATTGATTTGATCCCTTTTGTGCAAGTGACTGAGATTTATTTATAGAGCAACAAATATTATTATTATTTGATAAAATTATCGTTGTTCACTTTACACGTTTCGGCTCCATTCATTTCCAAAAAATAAGTTCCTAGAAAACGTTTTTAATGAAAAATAACTTTCAGGAAAATACATTATTTTCAATCGACATAGGCTATCACATAAAAAATCACTTAGAAAAATATTTTTCAATATTTAATACAATATTAAAAAAATTTAATTTTTCACCATATAACTAATGTGTTTACATATGTTATATTTCATATAAATTTAATAAATATATGAAAATTGATAAGAAAATCAAATTAATAAAAGGTTGAACATCAGAAAAAAAATATTTCTAATACTTTGCTATAATTTCATCAGGTTCAAAACGAAATTCATAGTTCATGCATTGCTTAAATACATAGTTGGTTCAATTACAAAAAACAATAATAATAACATTAATCTAAGAAGCAATAATAAAAACATTAGTTCAAGAAAGAAAAAACCAACTACAATAAAAACATTAGTTCAAGAAAGAAAAAACCAACTACAATAAAATCAAGTTCCTTCCGTTTGAATTTGTTATTTTTTAGATTTGGGCTTGGATTTTATTTAATTTAATATTATTTTCAGTAATTAATTGATTAATTAATTTCAATTAATTAATTAATTAAAAGAAAGAGGTAATAGAATATGTGAGTTGCAGTTGAGAAAATGAGAGCACTCCTCGAGAAGTTATTCATCATGTACAAAAGATGGAAACCAAATGAGCCAATGTGAGTAACGTGAATCACTAGAGATTTTTTGGTGACTGCCTGTGGAGCCTATAAAAAGCCTTGTTTTTATTTTTCCTAAACACTGTTTATTTACGTTTTCTGATAATTACAAACACTCTTTTCAATACAAGTAATGAAATTCAATTTACTTTTCAAGCAATCAAACTCTCTTTACAATTTTCTCAACTCAAATTTACTTAAATTACACAATCGGTGAAGCGTTTACGTGGATCCAAACCCACAGCCTAAAAGTCAGATAAAATGCATTTTATTTTTCAGTTAATGTACTTCACACACCTGACACGCCGGCAATTAATTCACAAATCAAGCTATCAGTCAGCTGATCGTTGCCATTTCTACAGAAAGAACCAACACCTTC